TCAGATGGTTGGGCATCCTCCTCAGGTTCTCTTGTCTCACGTGCGTCGCGACAAGGAGCATCGTTTCGCCGGTACTAGGCGAGTCTCCCCCCTTTTATGAGGGTCTCGATGGCATCCTTGAGGTGGACGCAGACTTCAGTCAGATGACCATGGCTCCTATGGTACTGACAGTATTTGCTCCTGTCCACCCCGGGTTTGGCGGGAGATGGTCGGGGGCACTTGACACCGCCATCTTTGAAATCTGTGTTGGCGCACTCCGCCAAGATGCGCTCGCGGGAAGCCGTGAGCGGAGTGTACTCTGTGAAACGCCCCGAGGGTCCTCTCTGTTCTCGGACGTCCCGGGGTTTGTCATCTTTTCTTTTCTCCCCGGTTCGTCGAGGAGGAATGGCTTCTTGGCGGGGGTTGCTGCTGGATCCGCGAGTCCTGGGGTCACGGGCTCTGTTGTCCGCTTCCCTTTCCTCATAGTCCATGTAAGCCCTGGCCTTCTCGAGGAGAGCATCAAACGTTCAGGGTGGTTCGATGCCCGCTGCTTTCCTGAACCCTGTGCCAGGGAGGAGACCCCTCTCTAGCAGGTATCTTTTCATGTGGTCCGCGCAGAGGACCTGGATGGCTTCACGATTGAAGCAGTTGATGAATTCTCTCAAGGTCTAATCCTGCCTCTGGACGATGGCCTCGAGCACCACTTCGGTCTTTGGATGTCGCCGTGACGCGGTGAACGAGCTTATGAATTGGTTTTTCAAGTTTCGCCACGAGGTGATTGACCCCGGGGCAAGACCCTTGTACCAATCCATTGCCGCTTTCCTGAGGGTTGTGGGGAACAACCGAAATTTGATGGGTCCCCCGACGTTATGGTAGTGCAGCATAGCCTCGAACCTGTCTATATGATCGACCGAGTCAGCGACTCCATTATATTCTTTCAAATGAGGGGGCTTCTCCATGCCCGGGGGAATGGGTGCCTCCATGATGGCTTATGATAGGGGACCGCGGGGGTCGTCCTCATCACTTTGTTCCGGGGAGAGGGACGGGGACCTGAGGTATTGTTAGACATGACGACCCTGATCGTGTTGGGCGTTCCTCGAGCGATGTGCTCGTTGACACGTACCTCCGTGCCCGTCTCCAGGATGCCTTCGTTCTTGCTGTGAAAGGCTGTGGTCGCGCCCTCCGGCTTCAATGATTGGCTCTCTCTCCAAGGCGGGTCGCCTCCCCGGTGGCCGGGGTAACGGGCTTCAGGAGATGCCTCTGTCTTGTCTCCGCGGGGGAGATCGGAGACGTTCCTCCATTCTTCAAGAAGGTGGGGATTAAGGCCTCCTGTGTCTCCTTGGGGGTCTTCTGTCCTCCTCCAGTGCTCTCAGTCTTTCCCCTTGGGCAAAGATGAGGTAGTTGGTCTGGTTGATTGCCGTGAACAGTGCCCTGGTCGTGGCGTCTGCCCCGGCGGGGACAGGAACTTCATGGAATTGAGCGGCTTGATGGTTCGGGGGAACCGAATTATCTTCTTCGAGTCGAAGGGGGACTGATGAAGAGGAAGCAGTGGCTTGATCCCGGTAGTTGGAGATTCCGGGGATGTTGCCAGCGGGAGCAGTAACATGCGTTGTGACGCTGGCGTTGTTATCGGCGAGGTTATTGCAGTCTCGACAACACGGGCGTTCTGATTGTCTTGAACATGGTCAGCCATGACGGTGGAAGATGGTTTTTAGCTTTTGGTCTTTGAAGGTTTGTAAGACGGGGAAGCTTTGTTCCCACAGACGGCGCCACTGATCTTACCAGATCAAAATTGGACCGTCACAGCTGGCTCGAACTGGATTTGAATGAGATGGGGGGGGGGGGGGGGGGTACCTGCAAGACACTCCGATGATGAAATGAGAGACGGAATGTGCAGGCAAATAGTATGTAGGTGTGTAATGAATGAATACCTGACCCTCTTGAAGTAAAGGGTATTTATAGCCCCCAGCGCTGGGCCAAGGTCCCTTTATTGGCCGATCAGAACTAGCCCAACAAAGGGATTGCTAGGTTCTACGTGTGTAGTGGGGACCCGTACGTGGTCCCCTTCCTGGATGGTGCTCTGCAAAGAATGAGGAAGAACGAAGACGCAGTCTTCCCGGAGCTTTAAGGATCCCATAGTATTCGGAGGGGACAGAGTCTGCCCTACAGGGAGGATGCTCGAGCAAGACTCGAGTTGGAGTGCCCTTGGTCGGGGACGTTGCTCGTTGCGGGTAGCGGCGGGCATAACTGTTATGGTCTGTGACTGGGTATGCTCGGGGTGGTCTGATTGCAAACACAGCTCGAGGAACTGCTTGGATCTGGACCTTTACTTGTATTTTGGGCCAAGGCAGGCCCAGTCCAGAACAGAAATAAACATGGCATCACTCATAAGACAACTAGAGAAAATAGCTATTTGATCCCTAAGAGACAAATTGCAACTCCTGACAGGTATATTGATTACCACGCTAATGTGAGATTTGCAGGAATTAACTCCAAAGAAAAGTAGTGGTTGGTGTTGCTTATCCTAATAACCATTGGTAGTCCCACCTTGCTATTTTTCCTTCTATTATAATTTGATGCCCATACTGCAAATGTAATACGAAAGTCCTTTATAACTAGTAAATAAACTTACTTTCTTCTATTTTCTAATTTAATTTTGATGGCAAATAAAATCAATCAAAATTGGAAGGAAAAAACCCAAGACTATTGTTAGAAATGCCCAACGCGCATGACCAAAGCAATTTGAAATGAGGAGCGAAGAGTTTCAAGATGCTGTCGTAAACGCTTAAAAGTGTAAGACCAAAATAATCAACGCCCCATACAATTGGGGTGCTTCCTCAAACACTTCAAAGCATATAAAAAAAGCAATCAAAGCCCTTTAAATACATCACATTACAAAATGGTGATAAATGGGCTCATCCCCCTCTTGGTAGCTAGCCACTCTATAGACCGAGATGAGTATCTATCATGTCAACCTAACCAAGTTTTCACTTGGGGGTAGGGAAAAGGTATCGACCATTAGACGGATACAACCCCAGAGACGTCCAATAAAACTTCAAGGTCAATATTCGTAAAGTGAATAGAGCAATATATTTGGGATCTAACATGAACGACGACTCAAGTAAGAAAAAAATATTCAATTGACAAATTTATGTTTATACATTGTTATACAACCCAAACAAAAATAGCAATGGCCTATTGATCTTTGAGGGAAACCATCGTCTCATTCTCTATTATTTGGTCTAGGTGGACTCGCTCCCTTAAAACACACAGAGGAGGATAAAAATGCTTCACTTGCTGGAGAGCATTCTCAAAATAATCATACGCAGAGGCAAGACCCTCGTCCACAACTTTATCAAACTCTTTAGTCAGAGTAAGAGTCTAAAGGTACAAATTTTGAAGACTTTCTCGAGCCTCCTTCAGAGATGCCTCAAGTTCTACTACCCTATTATGAAAAGGATCTTGCACATGTTTCTCCCTAGAAAGGGAAACCTCAACTATAAATAATGATGCTTGAACGGAGAACTGAACTACGTCTTCTTTGATAGCTTACCCACGAGCAGCTTCACTTTGTCGACCAACATACCACGAGACTCAAAAGCACCAACGACAACTTCCATCTCTAAGAAGGAAGTGAAAGCCTTTCTAAGCTCCTCAAAGTATCAGTCACGCTCAATGGTAAGATCCCGAACACAATACTAGATCACCTTTTCTCCTTTGAAAGTAGATCAGATACAAAGACTTCACCACAGTCAGTCCCATCAAAAGCAGAGTGTCAGATGCCCGATGGGTATAGTAATCTAGGTTTGATAACTCCTTCTGATGAGTGACCTCAATCAGATCTAAAAAAATAAGAATAACCTTCCTTCAAAATAAAACCCCGAACTTCTCTCGCAGTCGCACGCCTGGAAGACGAGATGCGGAATCCCCGAGGCAGAAGTCAGACCTCCCAGGACACATGATCCCATTAGGTTTCTCTCACAAACTACAAAGAACCCAACTGCGGGTCTCGCTTCTTCGAAAACTTTGACTTTGAAACAAGAGGCCAAATCCCCTCCTCCCTTAGAGGGGGATGAACCCAAGTTATCATCTACCATGACTCGAATACCTGAATCCCAAACTTCTTCTGTAGGCGACCAAGTTGGAGTAAGCTACTTCAATCATCCAGTAGGGTCCCCCGAAGTAGAAGCTACCACATGGGATAAGTTTTATGAATCGCCGACCAGAGTCAAAATGAATCGGGAGTCTATCTTTATCTTTTAGATTGTTTCTTCACACTTCATGGAATCTACATGGTCTACAACAAAATTTCCAAAGAAGAAAATATTCAAGGAAAAAATTGGCGAGGGCTAGAAAACCTACAACACTCACCAAAAAATTGCCCTAGGTGCCTGCTTGGTAGATGGTTCACCATACTATGTCGAGCCTTAAAAACATGAAAAAGATCGACAAGATTGGCACACCCCTTGATATTTGCACCAATGTTGCAAAGCCTTGATAAATGGCCAACCCGCTAGCTGAAGCTGTGTGGGAGCAATCATCAAATGATTCAAGACACCGATCTCAAAATCATTGAACGGAAGGCAAAAACCCAATATAGAGAATAAGCACTCATAAAAGGGATGACACACCCGTTATATTGACTACATTTTCTCTTATCCTTAACGGAAGCCAACATCCTGAGTCAAAGGAAGGTCTCACGTCACCAAAGACATGATTGAGTCCGCCTTCATAAGTGAAAGTAAAAGCATTTTCCAAAATATATGGATCCATAAAAAAAACAGATATCCTTCTTCGTTTTTGGACACATGGCAAAGAATTAGGGTGGTGATGAGATTCAAAAACCATTTAGTATTAATATTTGATCGATTTGGGGATGTGATCAACTTAATTTCATTTTAAGGGTATTATATAATACTAGTAGACAGTAGTAAAACAGAAAATTGTTGAAATAAAAAGTTGCAGAGTGAGACGCAGTCACTCTCTGTCTTGTACGATTGCAGAGAGAGAGAGAGAGAGAAATGGGTTTGATTTCCAACAGAGTTGAGAGACATGAGATAAAACCCGGCGACCATGTCTACACTTACAGAGCTGTTTTCACTTACTCTCATCACGGTCTGTCTCTTTTCTCCTCTATATGCATTCTCATTTTTCAATTCAGATCCTCAACACCTATGTAATTTCAAAACTCGATTCAGATCAGGCGGTTCTAATTTTACTTTTAGCCGACTGCCCGATTTCGTCTAATTAATGAATTATGCGGTTGAAATTGTTTTTCTTTCCGGGATCCGCTACATGGATCAACTTTCGTTATAATCTTGTATTCATAATCACTAGTAATTGTAGCTTTGTTGGATTGAATTGGATACCATGCAGGAATATTTGTTGGGGGGAGCAAGGTCGTACATTTCAGGCCTGATAGAAACTTCAAGTCAGTCACCGACACATCTTCAAACTTTGACGATCCAACACCAACTCCATGTCCAACCTTTCCTGATTGTGGATTCCGCCAACCCAATAGTGGAGTACTTCTTTCTTGCTTAGACTGCTTCCTTCGAAACGGTTCTCTTTACTCTTTTGACTATGGAGTTTCACCAACACTTTTTCTTACCAGAATAAGAGGTGGCACATGCACTACCGCATTACCTGACCCGCCTGACACCGTTATCCACCGAGCCATGTATCTCCTTCAAAACGGTTTCGGTAACTATGACGTTTTCCAAAACAACTGTGAGGATTTTGCAATGTACTGCAAAACTGGCCTTTTGATTCTAGACAAGCAAGGTGTTGGAACAAGCGGTCAAGCTTCTTCTGCTATCGGTGCTCCATTGGCCGCAATCCTCTCTTCTCCTTTCAAATTATTAATGCCAAATCCTGTCGGTATTGCTACGGTAACAGCAGGAATGTACTGCGTCAGTAGATATGCAACTGACATTGGTGTTAGAAGCGATGTCATCAAAGTCGGGGTACAAGACTTGGCCGTGAACATGGGATGGACTTGTTCTAATGCGGAGGAGGAGGAGGTAGTTCAAGATGAAACTTCAACCTCACTCATTACCTTATGATTTAGTTAACATGAAAGTTCTGTATGTCTTATTTATTTTAACTTGTTCTATTACACTAGTAAATTGGCCGCAGATATCAATCTTCATTTCATGTATAAGGCCTTTTTCATGTATTCTGTACGATTAGCTACTCAGGTTGTGAAAGGGATGTAATAGCAGTAATACTTGTTGTTGTTACTAGTAGTGTTTAATTATAAGATTTTTTCCTATGACTTCATTTTTCTTTTGGTAGCCCAGAATTAAGGCAATCCTAACTTTCAATAGTAACCAAACCATTTTATTGTTTGGAGCCATTTTAGAGGTAATTCTTCAGGAGATTTTGATGATGTGAATGATAGCAAAGAGCGGTTTCTCCTCAACCTGACGAGCAAGGAGACCAAAATGGATTATGGAAGGTTTGTTTCCTGCAGTGCTGGACCAAAATGGATTCTGTTGGTTCATGTTGTTTCACTAGGCGACTAAATGGACCTAGTTGACCCGTTTATATATCTGAAATTTGACAAAATGATGTATGTGAGTAACTTTTGACAGGAATAAAAGGCATATTTTGAAATATCCGAAATCTCAAGAATCTATTTGGGAATGTCTTAGAAAGTCAGGAACAAATTTGGTGGTTTACTCAATAGATAATCTAATGAGGGAGGTGGGAAGGTGCAAAATCAATGTTGTCTTTCAGTTTTCTCAGTTTATTTTGCTCCTGTTGTATGATATAATGCTACCAAGTTTCTCTCTTGTCACTGGTTAAGCCTGAATGAGGTATTGTGTTGTGAATGCAGCCAAGACTTGAAAAGATGGCTGAAGTGGAACCAAACTCTCTCAACTATATTCCAGAGATTATACCGAAGAAGAGGAAAAACAGTGAAGCATTTGAGTTGACAGAAGAAGAGGAAAAACAGTGAAGCATTTGAGTTGACAAAAAAGACGCAATTCCAACAAAAAAGGAGAAAGTTCCTTTGACAGATTATAACACTATTGAACAGGTAAATACATGGTGTTACTAGATTGACTCAACTTAATTGTTTTTGTAATTCTTGCACGTTAGTTCGGTATTGTATGCATAGTGTTAGAAGTATGATTCTGGTTCTGACGAAATGCATGTGTGGTGTATGTCGAATAATTTTTGTATAGGTTATAAGTTGTATTCGACAGAGTCGAATACAACAGATATTGTAGTCTGTCGAAATTATGTTTTGGACTTTAGCATGTTTTGTCTAATTGGGTCTGGGCATTGTTTGCCTATGTAAAGGACTGCTGAGTTTGTAATCAATAAGCAATCAATAATAACAAACTTTCAATTCTCTCTCTTCTCTCTCTCTCTTCTTCTTCTTCTTCTCTTCCATAAATCATCTTTCTTGAAAATCTTTTGTTCCAACAAATTGGTATCAGAGCTCGGTTGTGATTCAGAGAGAATCTAATGGCAAACGAAACAACAACATCAACACAGTTTCTAGTGAACCTACGTGTTTTCAAAGGTGAAAACTATCAATGGTGGGTTGCGCAGATGAAAGTTATTTTCAGATTTCAAGATGTTGAAATCTTGAATGATGGAGTATCAGAACTAGAAGCAAACACGGCGGAAGTCCAAAAAACTGCGCACAAAGATCAGAGGAAGAAAGATGGTAAAACATTGTTCTTGATTCACTAGTGTGTGGACTTTGATGTATTTGAGAAAAATAATTGAAGAAGAAACAACAAAAAGAGCTTGGGAAAAGTTAAAAAACTTGGATGGTGGAGATGAGAAATTGAAGAAGGTGAAGTTGCAGACACTAAGGAAGCAATACAAGATGCTTCAAATGAAAGAAGATGAATCAATTTCTACATATTTCTCAAGAATTGTGATGCTAACAAACCAGATGAAGGCATGTGGTGAATCAGTTACAGATCTGCAGAAGATAAAAAAGGTGTTGAGATCTTTAATTGTAGATTTTGACTACATTGTTGTGACAATTGAAGAGGTCAAGACTCTATTTGAGATGAAGTTGGAAGAACTCCAAGCTTCATTGGATGCTCATAAGATGAGGTTGAAGTAGAGAAACTCAGAAAGAGAGAAGGTGACTGAACAGACATTGCAATCAAGATTCAGCAAGAAAGCTGGAAAAGAGAAGTCGAAGCAGCGAAAGAATCTTGCTAGTGATGAGAAGTCAAGCAAGAATACTGATTCGATCAAGAAAGGTGTGGGCAACAAGTATTCTGGAAAGAAAGTTGACACGAAAGAGGTGAAATGTTACAATTGTCAAGGTTTTAGTCACTATGTTAGAGACTTTCAAAGAAAGAAAGCTGCGAGGGCGAAAGATAGTGATGAAGCTCAATATGCACGAGCTGGAGATAATAATTCTGATGATGTGTTGTTGATGGTGAACACTCAATCGAACACTAAGAAAAACAACATGTGGTATCTGGATTCAGGATGCAGCAACCACATGACTGACAATAAAAACTGGTTTACCAAGTTAGATGAGTCAGTCGAAAAGGTGATAAAGTTTACAGATGGAAGACACATCAAATCAAGTGGTAAATGAGATATTTCGATTGTCAGGAAGGATGGTCGAAAAGTTACTATCACTGAAGTACTATATGTACCTTCTATGACAAGTAACTTGATAAGTGTAGGTCAACCACTTGCAAAAGGATTCAATATGAAGCTGGAGAAAAATCAGATGAAGGTGTATATGGCTGATGGGAGGCTAATAATGAGAGCACCATTGGTGGAGAACAAAACGTTCAAAGTTGAATTCAACACATCAAATCACAAATGTCTTGCTTCAACTACAAAAGAAGACAAAAACTGACTATGGCATCATAGGTATGGACATCTAAACTTTAAAATTTTATGCATGCTCAATCAAAAAAGGATGGTTTTTGGGTTGCCGTATGCAAAGGAATCAAAGCAGGTATGCGAGGAATGCTGCAAAATAAAACAGGCTAGAAAGGCGTTCAAACATGACTTGCCCATGAAATCAAAGCAAAAAATGGAGCTGGTTCATTCTGATGTGTGTGGACCCTTTGAAGTAAAGTTAAATGGAGGTAACGGGTATTTCCTTACTTTCATTGATGAATTCACTAGACATATGTGAATTTACCTTATTGAAAGGAAGAGTGAGATATTCACACAGTTCAAGAAGTTCAAGTTGCATGTTGAGAAACTAAGTGGCTGCAAATTGAAGAAGTTAAGAACTGATGGTGGTGGTGGATATACTTCTGCTGAATTTGCTAGATTTTGCAATGCGGAAGGTATAGATCATGAGGTTATTGCACCATATACGCCTTAGCATAATGACATAGCTGAGAGAAATAATAGAAGTATATTGAACATGACGAGAAGTATGTTGAAAGCTAAAGATATGCGTAAGAGATTTTGGGATAGAGCAGCTTCGACAACAATATATATTCTAAATAGATGCCTAACGAAGAAGATGGTCGAAAAGACACCGCATGAGGCTTGGACAGGGTCGAAGCCAAATGTGAGTCATCTTAGAGTTTTTGGATCAATGACTTCAGGCATGTACCTGAACAATTGAGAAAGAAGCTAGATGATCGAAGTGAAGTCATGGTGCTCATACGTTATCATTCGACTGGTGCATACAAGTTGTATTCGCCAAACGAAGATAAACTAGTGATCAATCAAGATGTTCTTGTAGACGAAAGCAAAGGGTGGGATTGGGTCAAAGCTCAGTTCGACAAGAATCAGATACAATCACAACTGTGTTCGAAGAAGATGAGCAAAACGAAGCTTCAACGAGTCGAAATGAATAAGGTGATGCTTCAACTAGTCAAAATGAAGAACCACCTATGTAGAATGAAAGAAGGTCGATGAGAACAAGAACTGAGTCGACCAAGTTAACTGGATATGAAAGGTTTCCAGATCAAGCAATTAATGCAGATGGTGACTTAATCGAAGAAGCCATGATGATGGCTGAAGTAGAACCAATTGATTTGGGCGAAGCCATGAGCAACTCGAATTGGTGTGAAGCCATGAAAGAAGAACTCAGAGCTATTGAGAAGAACAAGACCTGGGAGCTTGTCCAAAGAACCAACAAGAAATCAATCGATGTAAAATGGATTTACAAGGTGAAACGAAGGCCAAATGGTGAGATTGTAAAGTATAAAGCAAAATTGGTGGCTAGAGGTTTTCTACAAAAACCTGGTATTGACTTCGACGAAGTATATGAGCCTGTTGCGAGGTTAGAAACAATCCGAATTTTTGTTTCGACAACATCATATAGAGGATGGAAGATGCATCAATTAGATGTAAAGTCAACATTTTTGAATGGTCCATTGGAAGAAGAAGTCTATGTTACTCAATCACCAGGATTCGACCTCAAAGGGCAGGAGTCGAAAGTATATAGATTAAGGAAGACTCTCTATGATTTGAAGCAAACTCCTAGACCTTAGATCAAGAGGATATATAGCTTCCTGATCGAAGCAGATTTCATAAAGTGTGTCTCTGAACATGGAGTGTATGTAAATGATATCAACAATGTCAATCAAATCATTTTATGCCTCTATGTTGATGACTTACTCATTACAGGAGCAGACGAAGCTGAGATAATGAAGGTAAAGTCGAAATTAATGAAGGTAAAGTCGAAATTAATGCAGGAATTCAAAATTAATGCAGGAATTCGAAATGTCTGACTTAGGGAATCTCTCATATTTCCTAGGGATGGAATTCAAATATTTTGAAGAAGGAGTATTCTCGCATCAAACGAAGTATGCTCAAGATATTTTGAAGAGGTTTAAAATGAGCAGTTGTAATGAAGTTGTCACTCTGTTAGAATTGGATCAAAGTTGAAAAAGGAAACGAATCATGAGTTTGTAAGTTTGATCCTTTACAAACAAATCATTGGATCCTTGAGATATCTTTGCAATACTAGACTAGATATCTGCCAAAGTGTAGGATTGTTGAGTAGATTTATGGAGAAATCACAAAAATGTCATCTCATCGAAGTAAAGAGGGTGTTGAGATACATAAAGGGAACTATTGATCATGGTGTGCTGTTACCAAAGAAGTCGAAGAACAACACATATGTCGAAGTTCATGGATACACTAACTCAGATTTCATTGGAGATCAAGACGAAAAGAAAAGTATTGCAGGCTACATTTTCATGATCGAAGGTGCTCCAATCTCTTGGAGTTCGAGGAAGCAAAGCATTGTGGTTTTGTCATCATGCAAAGTAGAACATGTGGCTGCATCATATGATGCATGCCAATCAGCATGTATCGAAATGCTACTTGAAGAACTCAGGATAATGGAACCTAAGAAGATGAAGTTGTTTGTCGACAACAAGTCAACTATTAACCTAGCGAATCACCCAGTGTGTCATGGTCGAAGTAAGCACATAGAAAGAAGGTATCATTTTATGAGGGATCAAGTCAACAAAGGGAAGCTTGAGATAAAGCATTGCAAGACAGAAGTGCAACTAACCGACATATTTACCAAACCTCTGAAGAAAGTCAGATTCGTCGAGTTAAAGAAAAGCATTGGGATGAGAAGTCTCGAGAACATGAATTAGGGGGTGTGTTAGAAATATAATTCTTCTTTTGTCGAAATGCATGTGTGGTGCATGTCGAATAACTTTTTGTATAGGTTATAAGTTGTATTCGACGTAATCGAATACAACAGATATTGTAGTCTGTCGAAATCATGTTTTGGGCTTTAGCATGTTTTGTCTAATTAGGCGTGGGCATTGTTTCTCTATATAAATGGTTACTGAGTTTGTAATCAATAAGCAATCAATAATAACAAACTTTCAATTCTCTCTCTTCTTTCTTCTTCTTTTCTCTTTCATAAATCATCTTTCTTAAAAACCCTTTGTTTCAACATATAGAAGATATTCTGCATCAAAAAATAAACACATTAGTTAATTAATGGTCTTGCATTGACATCAGGGTGATGAAATGATTTCTATTTAACCTAAAAGAATATTTGAGGGTCCCTCTAAAATACCGAAATAATGCATTTTTCTTTATGATGGGAGTTGTTGTAATTCTAGCCCTCAAGTCTTAGCTTAATTAATTAATATTTAAATAAGTTCTAAGTGGGTGATCATGTTGTTTTTGGTTAGGGCAGGTAATCCAATTTTCAAGAGTTGCCTAATTTTTGTTATATATTTATATGCTAATTTATTGTTCAAACTTCAAATACACTTTATTTTTTTTTTGTTCTTTTTTAATTGTTCAATTTTGCCAATATATTCCAAGAAAAATATATCTCCAAATATTCTTCTAATAATGTTTTCTCTACAAATTCTAACTCAACAGGCAAAAATATGATTCAATTTAATGTGTCAATCTTTTTTAATCGTTTTGGTTATTTTATAAGATTTAGTTTGATTAAACCAACTCAATTAATAGCTGTACTTATGGATTCTAATCACTAAACTACTTGCTAAAAAGAATTTCAATAAATTAAAACCCATAAAATATAAAAAAATTCTAACAAATAATTCCATTAAGTGCTTTCATAGTAGGAAATGTGATGATGGTTTTTAGATATAGTGCACAAAGCACTCGACCAATTAATATATATAATACAACCTTTGAATATCTGAGTCTTTCCTTATTCATCAAAAGCCACTTGAACAAAATCTTTAAAAACAAACATATTACCATGATGACCCTTCACCTATGACTCCATTCCAATTATACCTTGTTGAGTTTTCTTGTTCTTCATTATGTTCCACTTGATCAACCTGTAATTCATTTGTATTGCAAAGTTTCTTCATCTCTCCAACTGAAAATCCAAGATTTGGTTTCATTTCCTGCATGGAAAACCATGGATGATATTGTCCATCTGAGCTCGAACTTGACATCATCATCAAGGAATTAGGAACACAAGTAGAAGCCAAACTAAGATCATGACCTTTAATCATGTTATATGAAGAAATAGCAGATGATGCTATGAGTTTGTTGTTCTTCCTAGAACTACCTCCAACTGGGATGTTTCTTAGTGAACCACCTTGTGTCCAATACCTTTTGCAAGTTTTGCATAAGTATCTTGGTTGTGTGAGGCTATAGTTGTTGTAATAACAGAACTTTGTGTTTGTTGATTTGCACCTTGGACAATTCAATGCTTCTTCTGTTTTTGTTTTCTTCTCTAATATTTCAGCCCTAGTGCATGAACTCGGAGTTAACCCTTCCATGGCAAAAATTCTGATAGAAAAATAGAGGCTATAAATAATTAATCAATAATAATACTGCAGTTGGCATGAACAATACTATTGATAAATCTAGTGGAAGCTTCATATATATAGATACACAAACTAAAGTCTGTGCATGGAAGAAAATATATGAGAAAAGAAAGCAAGGATGAGTTAAGAGAGAGAATGACCTTGTTTAGTTTGTCTGCAACTGGTCTTTGTTGACGCAAGAAAGAATGCTTTAGTTGGTTTGTGGGTTGGCTTATTTTTATGAAGGATATACTTAACAAATAAGCTGAAAAAATCTCTCTTTATTGACTATACTTACTTGCAATTCCTCTCATGAATGATGTTTAAGACTTTAGGATTTTTTTCAATTAATTAATTAATGATTATCTTTAGTGGTTTCTTTCCTCTCATCTAATTCAAATTTAATTCTACTCCAATTAATATACTATTTTTCTTTCTTATATATAATTTTAGAGAAAATAAATGATGGATAGATAGTGTAAGTTATTTACACTATTAATCAATGATGATCATGTATTGTTTCAAATCAAATTGAAAATTGAAAATTATTTATATGAAATGATAGAGTAATATATTTTTATTGGATGACAATATAAGATTTTTTATATCGTAAATGCATCTTCATTAAACTCATACTTTTAATATTAATATTTGATAAGTATGGTTCTATTACGCATTAGCACCAGTTTGTTTTTACTTTGGATGTGTCTCATACATGCGTATGAACTGAAGCTATAGTATGAAGCTTCTGTTTTTTAAGTTGGATTTACTCGTAACGTGAGAATTAAAGATTGGATGAATTTTCAAACATACACTAAATTGATATCTTTTTGTTATGTTTTATGTTCTGTGCAGTCTAGAAAACCCATGACGAAAGGTCTAATTGTATAGTGAGAGTAGTATATCATGTAGAGTAGGTAGGCCTCTTTTTCCTCTAGAGCATGTAATTTCACCCACTAGAGCTCTACTATCCCGATTAATTTCATGGTTGAGAGCGATCCACACTTCACTCCACGCTTTATGTTGTTAACTGCTTCCTCTATTTAAGAGGAAAGATGTATCATTTTTTAGGTATTCAAATTCATTCTCAGTCTCACATCACTTTTCATTCTCTTACCTATTTAGGCGTTAGAGCGCTAACTTTGCACGTCTCTCCACCGCATCGGAAGTTCAAGTCCACCGTAGTAAGCACTACTTCATCGTTCACTAGACAATTCTTGTTCTACCATGGAAAAATGGTGTCGTCTGTGAGAAAAGAAAATTTGATTCTCACACATTTCCACGTTCAAATCTCCTCCCATCATGAGATCCAGATCTCCTCTCTTAGAGGTTCAGATCTTTGTTTCTTGTCTTCTTCCTCAAGTCACAACTTCATTTCTAATAGATGTTTTTTTGGACTTATCAACCATCATGGCTTCCAAAGCCGCTAAATTCGCCGTTCAAGGAAGCCACTTATGCCGCTATTGGAACTGTTAAACGCTTCTTCTTTCTCAAATATAAGATGATCCAATCTTTGTGGTGTCTCCATCCCATCCTTCCCAACAAGATCATGTTCCATGAATAGTCAGTCAAGGAGGGTTCCAAGCTCTCATGTTCTTCGAATCAGTGCAACAATTTCATCAACGTGAGCCCTCACATCAACTTTCACCATTACATATGATACTTGGACAGGAAGCACTCATCGACCTTCAACTGTTGTAGGCTAACCTAAGAGTACAAGGAACTATAAATCTTCTAAATAATCTTTACAACATGATGCAACAACGTAACTCACAAATCTTAGGGGGAAAGTTGTTCATAGTTGAAGAGAGCCTATAACACGTTAATCTGAAGAATAACACTGTGTGGGAGGCAACCTCTCATAGAAAGAAAGTTGTAATTCCCAAGTCGACCTTTATGAAGGCGGAATTACCGTGTGAAGAGATCTCGAGGTTTCCAACTCAGAGTTGTCATCGAAGGCCCATGACCCCGATCACAGATCCCGAGGGAGAAAGTGGTATCCATACTCCCCTAGAGACTGGCCATCCTCGAAGGAGGGGGAGATATGAAGAAGACACTTCGTTCATAGAGAAAAAATAACATCTCCCTTTTTGCTCGCATCCTCAATAGTAGAATCCCAAGGTCATTAGAGAAGTCACCGAAGTTTATAAGCTATGATGAGACAAGATACCCGGAGAAACACACTGAGCAATTGGATGACCGGTTAGACTATTTCCAGACCCACAGGGCACTAAAATGAAAGCTCTTTGCACTAAATTTGATTGGATTAACAATGACAAGGTATAACACTCACCGATATGGAAGCATGGATTCTTGGAGAGACCTTTATGAAGCATTCGTTGCCCACTTCACTGCTCGAAAGTGTCAACCCACAATGATTGTTGTATTGAGTGGTATAACTTAGGGGAAGAATGAAACCCTACGCGGATACATCCACCACTTTATCAAAGTGGCAGTATCTGTGGGGGAGGGGGGGGGGGGGGGGGGGGGGGTGGGGGGTGGGGGGGCATGTGTGATAGGTTGAAGTGTTGGATTTTCGAAAAGGGATCGAGACTTGACAACATTTTTTGGGAGATCTAAGATTCAAGGAAATCCATAGTTTAAAAATTTTACTGAGTAGGGCACATGTGTGATAGGTTGAAGTGTTGGATTTTCGAAAAGGGGTCGAGACTTGACAACATTTTTTGGGAGATCTAAGATTCAAGGAAACCCATAGTTTGAAAAATTTACTGAGTAGGGCACAACCTTACATAAATTACAAAGAAAAACTTTTGGTCGAGGGAGTAAATCGAGGAGCGAGGAACTCTGGACTGAATCGGGCACTAGAAAGAGATATTGACCAACATAAAGAAGAAGGATAACATGACCTTGGATCCAAATTTAACACCTACACTCCCTTGAATAATTTGAGGGATAGAATATGGGAGGTATATGAAAACACTGAGTTCAAGGAATGTCACTATGGTGGTAGACTCAACCGTTGATAGATTGTTTAAAATTCCACTACAATTATGATCTTTAACCGTGATCAAATGATTTACTGATAAATTAAACCAACTTAATCCTCATTTCTTTCATAAGATGCCCTAGGCGAACAAGCGAACCAGAGACGACAACTGTTGTACCCCAAAATTTGCCCTCCCATATTCTTCAAGAAATTGCCAAGCCCAGTCATAAAATTCCCCAAGAGTTGCATAGTGCAAAGGTCTCCTATACAGTCAAAATTAGGGTTTGTGTTCTGATCAAGAAATTGAAGTTTTCAAAGGCCCAATCAAGTCTCACATGCCTACAAATATGGTCAAGCATCCTCATATCAAGTTTCAAGGCATTCAGCACAAAATTGCACAGTCAAAAACCCTAATTGCACTACAGTCAACTGTAGGGGCAAAATGGTCATTTGGCAGTCAAAAGTTCAAATTTTTGGCCAACATATCATTTTGAAGCCACAAACATCATTTGATCAATGCTTGATCATGATTCTCAAAATTTGGCTCAGAAATCATCAAGATGCAAAAGTTTCCTTATTTGGACAGCTGAAAAAGTCAACTGAAATTGACCAGGGCATAACTTTCACATGGATTATCAGAAAAATTCCATCCAAAGCTCATTTTGAAGAGAAAGAAATTTCCTACAACTCATCTTCATACTTCAAGTCCAAGAAACGCTCTCACAAAAAGTTATCAATTTCAACATTATAGGTCATTTTCAAAAGTCAACAAAAAGGGACTTTAAGTCAAAGGCCATAACTTGAGATTGGTAAATCAAAATGACATGGGACCAAAGGCATTGGTTAGAGGACTCAAAGACCTTTCCAAAATGTCCAAGAACATGAGAAAAGCTTAAAAATTGAGCAAGTTATGCCTTGTGGAAGTTGGGAAATTTTTGGATATTTTGAAAAGTCAACATTGATTCAAATGACCTAAAATTGCTAATGGGCCCATTTTTCTTCCACAATTCATCATTATAAGCATGTGCACGACCACTTGGCCCAAAGGGAAGTATTTCCTCATTTTTTATTTATTTATTTGAATTATTATTTATATTAATTCATTTAAATCATTTAAATATATGAAAAATATCTAACTTGACCTAACCAATCTTTTTATACATGTTTTGGACTCAATATTTCGTGCTTAGCTAAATGTGGAAAGATTTGGAGTGATTGGATCCTAATTGACACAAAGAACACATGGGAAAAGATATGAAAAGATCCTTAAAATCAAATTTTCAAAAACCATGATTACAAGAGATTTGATTGAGTTTTTCTTAACCTAATTGTTCCTACATATACAAAAAACATAACCCTAATGCAAAGAGACACGCAGCAGCTCAGAAGAGGCCATTGCAAACTTGAATTTTTCTCTAAAGAACTCAAAACTGAAATCATTGTTACAGGTCGATTCAAAGCACAAAACTTGTTTCAGTAGCTTCCTCAAGGTTCCCTGAACACATTCCAATCACAAACACTCATCAACGCCCAAGGAATTGGTATACAGAACCTAAGATATCTCATGAAAATTGCATAATCGTATTCTCCAATCTAAGCATTTTTACAGCATTTTATTCATGGATTCATGTTTATTATCTTATCCTGAAACTAACCAATGCATTTAATTGCGTTTTTATGCTGTATATGAGATTTCACCATGCTTGCTTTCTAGGGTTTGCAGGACCTCAAAATTGGGGTTTCTTATTTAACGAAAAATTAGCCTTCAAGAATGCCATGGTTGTAATCAGCAGACCTGGACGATCCTAAACATGTCATCGCGCCTAATTTATTGACACTCTAAGACCTATTCGCTATTTTCCCATAAGCTGCCTAAGAAAACGCCATAGAAACCGTTGCCTATGTGTTTGTTATTACAGGGATGATGGAGAAGAAGAATTCGTGGCATACGGTGATTGGATCATTTAAAATTCGCGCGCGTTGGTGGACCATGGTCGTTATTCCTTTTATTATGTTTATTCGCTAT